CTCACATGGGGGTTATCATTCTCACGTCAAATTGATCAAAACATCATTGTGAAATCAGTGTGCAAAACGATGAGTGTTTAGGTTTATCTTTTCAGCAGGTAATCTGTGATGTTTTGGCAACTAAAGAGAACAGATGGAAACTTTCAGGCTGAGTTGGTGTTGGCCAGAGAACATTAGCAAGCAGGCAGAGACCCGCTTGAGATTATTTCAGGGGAGAAAAAGAAAGGAAATACTGTCACTCAAATAGCGTATCAGTACCATTTGTTTCCCTTGAAAGAAACTGAAAGCAATTGCATGTCTTGTTTTTTCTTTTTTAGCTACTACTAAGACACATCTGAAGTCCAGAGATACATTGGGATCAATCTACTCGGTTACTTGACCAATTCATGCATAAGTACACACAATATGCCTACTGTGTGTGCAACACTTTCAAAGCAGCTTCACTGAGATGTAATTCACCTAACGTATAATTCACTCATTTAATGTATACAAACTCAGTGGCTTTTAGTATATTCATCGCTGTGCATGAGTCATCAAAGTCAAGCTTAGGCCTTTTGCCTCTCCTGCAGATAAAATTACCTCTTACCCTGCCATCTCCCCCTGTTTCCTCTAGCCCTAGGAATCTGCTCACTTACTTTCTGTCTATAGCATTCCCTATTCTGGATGAAATCATCTATCCATATAAATGTAATCATACAATATTTGATACCTTGTACCTGTTTTCTTCCACTCAGCATATTTTCAGTGTCCTACCATCTCGTGGAATGCATCGTTTCTGCTTAATGCCAATAATATTCCTGTGTACCACCTTCTGTTTATCCATTCATTGGTTGATAGACATTGGGTTGTTTCCATTTTCTGGCACTTCCCATAATGCTGCTATAAATTTTCACATACACGTTTTATGCAGACATCTGTTTTCATTTCTCTTGGATACGTATCTGTGAGTGGAATTGCTAGATACTGTACAAATTCTGTGTTTAACCACTTGAGAAACTGCCACTGTTTTCCAAACTGGTTGTGCCATTTAACAATACCACCAACAATATACGAAGGTTCAAATTCTTCCATTCCTGCTCCAATGCTTGCTATTTTCTGTCCGTTTTATTATAACCATTCTACAAGGTATGACATTGCATTTCATTGGTTTGATTTCCATTTCCCTGATGGCTGATAATGTTGAGCATCTCTTCATGAGCTTATTATCCATTTTCGTATTTCTTTGGAGAAATGCCTATCCATGTGCTTTGCCTGCTTTAATTGGGTTGCTTTTTTATCACTGATTTGTAATAGTTCTTATATTCAAGATCTAGGTCCCTTATTAGATATGTATTACTTGCAAAAATATCTATCTACCTGTGGTTTGTCTTTTCACCATCAGAGCTAAAAAGAGTCTGGGAAGGAAGGTTATCTTAATATTTGAATGTAAGTTTTACCTGGTCCCTCTTTTCCTGACTTGGAAATAACTCCCTATTTTTTCCTTTGGTGAGTGGACTTTCCTTATCCAATCTGACTATGTAATTTAGGTAGAGCTGACCTGTTCCCCAGATTGAACACACAAAGCAGGTTAGAACCCTTGCATTAAATCAAGACCTAGTCCAGAGAAAAACCACCCCAATTATGTGAATAGAGAGAATTTAATATAAAGAAATGTCAAGCTGAGCATGGTGGCACCACTTGTAATCTCATCACTCGGGAGACTGAGGCAGGAAGATGAGGCAGGAGGATCACCTTGAGTTCAGGCCAGAGCCAGCCTGCGCTACATAGAGAGACCCTGTTATAACACAAACAGACAAAAAAAGCTTAGTGGTTTGTAACAAGACGCATTTATCCCACATGATCTCTGTGAGTCAGAAATACAGCAAGGGGGCTGGGGATTTAGCTCAGCGGCAAAGCGCCTGCCTGGCAAGTGCAAGGTTGTGAGTTCGGTTCCCAGTACCGGAGAAAAACCAAAAAAAAAAATAATAATAAAAGAACAGAAATACAGCAAAAGCTTAATGGAGTGCTTCAGGCTCAGGAAGGCACAGCCAAGTGCTACCTGTTGTCGCAGTCACCTTGTTATGGCTGTGTCTCAATTCCCCCAGCCCCACCCCAAAGCCTCATGCGGTCATAGGTGAAGCTGGATCTAGAGTGTGTGATGCTGGAATTAAGGATGCAGTGCTGAGACTGACTTGTGGTGTGGTGCTGGGGTTAAGGGTGTCCCACCCTGGATGTGAGTACAGGTAGCCTGGATAGAATATAAGGGACAGAAAGCAGGCTGCTGTGGCCACCACTTGTTGCTTGCTGCTTTGCTACTGCACTGCTTGCTGCCTTCTGCTTTGCTGCCTTCTGCACACCATGAACTGTTTCTCTTCTACAATGCCCCTCTGCCATGCCATGCTGCCTTGGAGCCAGCCCACTATGCACTGAAACCTCTACAAACTATGAGCTACAATGTCTTTCCTCCTTGAACTTTGTGTGTTGGATATTTTGTCTCAGCAATGAGAAAGGTAACTAAGACACACCAGAAAGCATAGGTAGAGCTACAGGACCTTCTTCAAAGATGGCTCACTCATACTGCTGATGAACTGAGACTGGGTGTCACAAGAAGCTTCTTTTCCAAGCTATATAAGAATTTTCCATTGGGCTACTTAAATACCCGCTCCACATGGGTGATGGTTCTTCCCAGGGCAAGAGACAAGATAGAAGCCACTATGTTCTTGTGATCTTGCGTTAGAAGGTACACACCACCACAATTTCCATTACATTAATATCCTGTTGATAGCATAAGTCAGTCTTCTCTACTGTGGGAAAGGATATACAAGCTTATAAACACGAGAAGGTAAAAATCAGTGGGCAGCATCTCAGAGGCTGGCTGCCATTACCCAGCCCCTGTTTTCTTTAACCTCAGCAAGAACCTCCTTTAATCAGTGAGGCAACAGCAAATCTTCATTCCTGAAGAGGCTGCATGAACAGTATTTCTGCCCTTTTGTTTGTAGTAGTTCTCTATTAACATTTACTATCAGACATAGAAATACAGTACCAAGAGGTATCTTGGAAGCTTTCCTAGATTGCAGAAATCACTGCTACTCTTTTCATGCAACAGCAATCCAATTTACATTTGGAAATCAGAATCCGTCATCCCAGCCAACAGAGTAATTCCCTTCTTTTCCTATTGTTTCAGAAGCACAATAACCTCCAAATTAACTGGTGGCAGTCTCACCTTCCAAATCCACATAATTGTTTTTGTACACTTGGTAAAAACCTTGCTCTTTGGAAACAATATTTCCAACCCAGAAAAGCTCAAAGTCTTATAGGAAAGGAAGTAAACATTGTCTAAGTGATAAGACAATAGCAAGAGGAGCTACTCCTACTTGCACTGCTGAGTTCCTGGACCCCACTATCATGGCCATGAAAGAGACACACCATAGATAGGTCTTTAACTCAAAGCTTGCATTATAACTTATTAGACAGAACCTTGACTTCCGGTGCACTATCTCCAAAGTGACTTTGTAAGTGATACATATAGTGGAGTTGGCTGAATTTTGACTTTTCATAGCTTCTTCTCTAACTTTATCATATTTATAAAACCTGACTGAAATAGTAGTAGTGCTTGGTACTTCCCACTTATGATTCAGTTTGCTTAACGCTATCAGCGTAGTGGGTCAGGGCGATGACATGTGAAATGTCAAGATAAGCAAGATCTCTACAAACCAGGAATGGTAATCCCAGCACTTAGAAGGCTGAGACAGGAGGATCTATGCAAGTTCAAGGCCAGCCTGTGCTACACAGTGATTTCAAGGCAAGCCTAAGCTACACAGCAAGACCCTGTCTCAAAAAGCCTAAATAATTTCTACAGATTTTACTATGAGTGAGAGCTCTTCAGCTGCCATAGGCGTGGAGCAAGGCTGTGGCATTTTCTATTGACCCTGTCAAGGAAAAGCAAAGCTATTTCGGTAGCCCTAGCAAATTGCTAAAGGAGATCAAAGCATTTTCCATATTAGGTTTAGCAGAGATTTATTCCTGCAGAGATATTAGATCTGGAAAAGTGACTGTCAATGAATCATCCCTGACTAATGTTAAAACAATCCAGTCATTCTAAGGCCCATCTACTGTCTTCCCAGTTCTTATAGGAATCAACACTTCTGCTTCATATGAGATGATGATGATGATGATGATGATGACGGTGATGGTGATCATAGTAACAGTAATCTGCAATTCCTCCAACAACATTCAGCTTCCTGCCAGTTGCGAGTGTCTAACAATTATATACTCTGGACCTGGGGAAAAAAAAGCTGGGCTCGCTAATAAGGCCACTGGATTGAAATTTGATGTGTAACTCAATCTACTCATCACCTCACCACCGTAAGCCCCTAATTTAATGCGGGATTACTGGGTCAAAGTTACAAACCGAAAGGTGAACTAGTAGCGTCTTGGCATTATAGCAATGAAAGTGGCAAGTTTTGGGTCTATAACACTAGTTAAATACCTATTTTGGGTTGATTTTGTTTATTTTGAGACAAGATCTATGTATCAAAGCATTTTCCATATCAACTACTATCCTATGTAGTTCAGATTGGCCTTGAACTCACAGCGATCCTCCTGCCTCGGCCTCCCAAGTGCTGGGAGGCCGAGCATATCATCCAGCTCGGGATGGCCAAGCACCACACCCAGCATATCATCCATTTTACACAATCGTTTCTAGAGTTAAATCTACGTACCTGTTGCACTATAGGTATATATAAAAAACTTTATCTGCTTCCTTTTTAACACTACTGTTAGGTATCCTACTAGACCACGAACTCTTTAAGGAGTAGACTTTATATTTAAGGTATAAATTTTATGGCTTGCACTAAGTAGTTAAGAAATATTTTATGAGTGCAGTGTCTAGTTTGAACCTAAATGGATACTAGTAATATAAGACATTTTGGTCATGGGCATCTTTTCGAGTGGTAAAATTAACCAATTGTAGAAATCTAGTCATAGAGAAAGGAAATAGCAGCCAAGAGGACACATGGAGGTCATGTGATCAATTTAATAAACAATCCGGGGGTATCATTTTACTTGACTTTTTTGGGGTGGCAGTCACTTCACAGTCTCCTTGGGGAAAACGTCCATGTCCCCCTAAAGAGTGTTTGGGAGGAAATGGTTAAGAAGTAAAGATCTAATTTAACATCACATATTAGGTACGTAAGAACAAAATACATGCATTGTAGTTAGCCATAATTTTCAGGACTTTTGAATTAGTGCAAGCAATCCGTTTTGTTTCCCACTTACAGCTAAACTAAGAATTCCTAAGGAAAGTTATAGGACAGTGAAGTGACACTTTTAAAGCATTTTAAAAAGTTCTAACTATTCTACTCACACATGAAAAACAAACTTGTCAAATCATAACCATCTTGCTTTTTGCAGAGACAAAAGCTCCAAATTCTTTACATAGATAAATCTTCTAACTTTGAAATTTCTCAGCTGCAAAGTTGTTCTGAAATGATTTCTACTTTTAATTATTTATAGGAGTGAGAAGCGGCTATAAGATTGCAAAATGTAGGGAATGCAGAATCCTGTCCGAACACAACTCTACTTATTTTGGAGTGTTCTTAAGAGACAATAGTGTACAGATAACACTACTTTTAGGATGGGAAATTTTTGGTTCAAAAAGACTATCCCACTTTTACCCCCTAAAGCAGTGGTTGCCAAAATTTCTCCCACACATGACAAGGCAGATTCTAATCTCATGTGCAGCGTTCCATGGGTCCTCTCCCCAAGTTTTATGGAGAAAACAGTGTCATGATTTTAGTGGTCATGGCATAAAGGAAGCATTTACTAGAGGACTGCAGATATTACATTCTTTTGTTACAACTGAAAAGTAACTTATTAGGAGAACATATAACCAAAGCATTACAATACAAAATAATGTATTTATAATTTTAAGTATTTTAACTACAGCAAATGAGTTTTTTCCCATTCTCCAGTTGTAGCTCATAGATACTAATAGGTAACCAAATAGCACTGAACAAATAGTGTCAGAAAGACCCCAAGTGTACGTATTTTAGCATACTGATATGAATATCATGAGTACACTCTGCGTCTGCTTGATCACCTTGCATATATTTGAAACAAAATTACTGGAAGAGTTGAAAGAAGTTTCCTCTGAATGTGTAAAGGCACTGCATTTTTTGTTGTTGTTGTCTGGTTTTTTTGCCACAGGCCTTTTAGAACTGATTTTTAAAACTGTCTGACATGACATCTGGGGTGACAGTGGGAGGAAGCAGAAGGAGACAATCATTTTAAAGTGAAAACAACCTCCCAAAACCACCAAGGGGAAGTGAGCACTATCACATCTAAACCCAATCACTCTTTTTATTTTACAAGTCATTTTACACAAAGGTATAAAGGCTAACATTCACTTACAAAAATAAGTTTAGTCTTTTGTTATAAATACTCTAGTTTTGATAATATGTTCATTTTTCCCATTTCAATGTCTCTGAAAGTATCCGAAGCACTCATCCTCAGGGGTTCTGCTTCTCACAAGGTACTGCAGGGGCGGATCTGTTCCGGATTCTTACTCTTTTCCTCTTTCTCTTCTTTTCAGAAGCAGGTGATTTTGTGTCTTGTGCTTTTTTCTTTTTCTTCAAACAACTAAGAGGATTGGGGCCACTTATTTTCTTGCGTTTTTTTCTTCTTCTCTGCTCAGGATTTTTCATTAAACCCTGCTCCTCTTTGAGTTGCTTTATACTTTCTTTCTCGTGCACTGAGACAAGCTGGCCTGACTCTATCGCTTTAACAAAGGCGACGGTTTTGGGAGAAGGTTTGTCCAAGACTATAGTGTTCTGAATAATGAACATGAGAGGAACTCCAGGCTTTTTCTTTACTTTCACAGATAAATTCTGATCCTATTAAAAAGAAAAACAGAATTATTTAGTTCAGTTACGTTAATTGTCTTTAATAGTTTCCTTGAAGATGGTTATATTAAAAGAGATATCATACATTTTATTTTTCAAATCAGCTATGTATCACTAAAGGGGTGTATTTTATGATAAAGGAAGAAAAACAAAAACAGTTTAGACAGTGTAACAAGCAGCATTGTAAATATTTATCAATATTCTAGGGTCAAGAGTTAAAAAGTAATGCATGAACGCAAAATATAAATATATATATGAATAACTGCAATAACCATTGCTGATGTCTGATGGTGTATTGAAATGAACAGTTGGTGATTACAATTTTTTATATTCTGATCGATTGTGCATGCTTGTGTCTGGTGGTCTGAGCAACTGATTTGAAGGTAACAATATGCAATGGAATTACAATGGTGATCGTACCATCTTGTCTAGTGAAACTCTGTATTATCTCTAATGTTTTATCTAATACTTATCTTCTTATTCTCTTTAATGGTTTGAGCAATCTTCCTTTCTTACATCTGGTAATCTGAGCAATGTAGTTGAGGACAGTGATATGTCATGTAACAACCACTGTTGATTCGTATTGTTTTGTCTTGAGACCCTGTATCACTTTGCATGTTCTTGCTTTGATTTATGTTTGTGATACTGGTATGCTGCTACTGTTCTATTTCTTTGTTTGTTTCTCATTTACTACTCTCTTTAAAATTTAAAAAAAAAAAAGTAATGCAAAGGGCAATGTGTTAGGAGGCTTCCTTTGCTTCAACTCTTAAGATATTCTTTGTACAAAGATGCCAAGTGTGGTGGTGTACATCTGTAATCCCAGGACTCCGGAGGCTGAAGCAGGAGGATTGCCAGAGTTTGAAGCCAGCCTAGCTACACAGTGAGTTCAAGAGCAGCCTGAACTACAAAGCAAGATCCTGTTTCAAAAAACCAAAACCCACAAAGAGGAGGCTACAGAAACAGAAGCTGAGTGGGGATTAGCTGACTCAGACTCTAGCTTCAGTTTCACCTCTGTGTAATTTTATAATTCTGAAAGTACATTTACGCAAATCTCTACGCGAACTTAACAGAAATCCTGAGTCTCTTTTCTCTTCTGTCCTAATCTTTTAAAAGCCTACAACCTTCCTTTCCAGTGCTACAGCCTTGAAGGAGATGAGCCATGACTTTTTGAGAAATAGGATGAATTACACACGAGAAAAGTTATGAGCCACAGAACAAACTCTTCGCATTACTCATCTTCCCTCGATGAACCATAAAACAAATCACAACTCTCTCAGTCACCTCTCATTCTCAAGAAAACTTCAGCTGATAGAAAGAAACTCAATATACTTAAGGTTTTCTGTTCCTATTCTCATGTGACAAATGCTTTCATTGACTACAAAGTCAAAGTCTGTATTTTTAAGTCTAAACACTAACAAATCACTTCCACTTAACATTTTCCTGATTATAAATAGCTTCATATGAAAAGTACACAGAAATAGTTACAGTGGAGTATCACCTGTGTTGCCACAAAATAATGGTGAGGGTTTCCCTCTTCAACCATGGAAAGCAGACAGTCTGATCCACTCACTGCATTCTTGAAGTGGGGACAGTTTCGAACTTGGCATTTCTGTGCAATTAGTTTTGCCCCATATAAGTCGTTTCCCAATGTTTCTAACTCCTTCAACACACATCTGGGGAGGAAAAGAAAGGCTATTAATGGTCAACAATTATAACAGAATTTCTTGTGTTCACATGAAGCAAGAATAGAACAGAACACTCATTTTTCTTAAAATGTAAAACTATACCCCTGTAATGTGAATTTGTCATATTGTAGCCATTTTACTTTCCAAAAATGGACCTGCAAAATAGCTGCCTATAATCCCCACTCTGGAGGCTGAGGGAGGAGGACTCCCGAGAGCTCAAAGCCAGCCTGGGCTACGTAGTGAGTTCAAGGCCAGCCTGTGAGACCTTGTCTCAAAAAATCAAAATAAAAAAAAAGAAAATGTTCAAAGTAGAAAAACCAATATGGATTCTAAAATGTATTGAGCACATACTATGTGCCAGGCAGCTAGCAAGTTACTCTTCTCATAAATTCTTGCTTACTCTCAAAATAACATATGAAATTAGGTGCTTCCCTTGTAATTAGTCTTATTTTGGAGCACCTCACTTTGAGAGATTTCAAGTAACATGCTCAAATGCAAATTTGAAAGTTGCAGAGCTGAAACATGAATCCAACTATTTTGACAACAGATTCCTTACACCAACCACAAGGCAATAAGCTTCCATATCAAGCACAAGCTCAAATATTTTAATTCAGAAAAGTAAAATTTCTCAAGTTATCAAGTTCTCTAAAAACAATCGCACTCTCTTTTCAACCTGCACTTTCATATTAACATAAGGCAGTATTTCTCAGAAATACCATGTATAAATGACCCAAGTCAGAATGACATAGTGATGTTAAACTGTATTAATTTCTAGCTCCTCTCTCACCACAAAATCTGCACCTCTTCTACAGGAGCCAAACACAGCCTGCCCTTCATATCCTCAGGGAAAGAAATGGTTCCTGGTACCCCACCAACAATTACAGCTGGGAATGCTCAAGTCTCTTATATAAAATGCCCTACTCTTTGCATACAATCTACACAAATCGCCTGTGTATTTTATTTAAACCATTCTGGACTACTTATACCTCATAGTGTGCAGTGTAAATTATATGTAGTTGTAACACTCGTGGCTTAGGGAAGAATAGTCAAAGGTCACTATGTGCTTTTCTTCCCCTAGTACTTTCTTTTATTTGCAGTTGGTTGAATGCACAAATGCAGAACTAATGGATGTGTAGAGCCAACTGTATCAGCATTTTAATAAAACTCCTCAGATACTTCCTCCTACCCACTTAGAAAAAATTTTTATGAGAATTATTGAGTCAAAGATCTCTTCAATTCTAGCCAGCTTTGCCAGAACCTTCCCTGCATAATCCCCTTTATCAGCTTATTGTTTTTTAAGAAAAAAGATTTGGCTTTTTTTCCAGTTACCAGTTTTGACCTGTTTCTAGGATTGTGGACTACTTATGAATATTGTCCATAGGTGACCCGTCATTAGCTCTTTAAATTTACAAGTTCAAAGTCCAACTACTTTTTTTCTAAACTTCTCCTCCAAGACTTGCTACCTTTTTGAAGTTACTACTTTCCCACAGACCCCAGCTTAGACAGAAACCAGAAACTGTATTTAACTTTCCTCATCCCTAACTCTCATCAGTTGTTAGTCCTATCTATCTCAGTAAAGTCTCCTTGTAGAAATTTTGGATGTCTGCCTTTCATCTCTCAGGTTCAGGCTCCCACTACTTCCTGATTGGGCAACTACAAAGTAGTTTGCTAGCCTCTGCTCTTTTGCTCCTCCAATTTGCCCTTCATGTTATTGCAGATATCTTTTCTAAACAGGAGGGATAACATTCTGCTGTTGTACTTCGTCAATTAAGTATAAGTCTCTTCAAACCTCAATATAAGTAAACCCTCTAGACCAGTGGTAGTGAACCTATGGCATGCATGCTTACTTGTTTCTTCTTTTAAGACAAAATATGCTAATGCATGAACTGTCTTTTCTAAACTAAAACCTCAGTATTCAGATTTCACTGCAGTGTTGGCACTTTGTCATAAGATATATAAGTGGGTTTGGGGTTGCAGTTTGGGCACTGTAAAAGGTTCACCATCATTGCTTCAGACCTAAGCACTAATGGCCAAGAAATACACTGAAATGAAAAACAAACGACCTGATTCTTTAAAGTTGACAGAATAGAGCCAGGTGTGGTGGCTCATGACTGTAATCCCAGCACTTGGGAGGCTGAGGCAGGAGGTGAGTTCGAGACCAGCCTGGCCTACAAAGTGAGCTCAAGGACGGCCTGAACTGTATAGTGAGACCCTGTCTCAAAAACAAAAACAAAAACAAACACCCATATAAAATTGACAGAATATAGTATGCTCCAAAATAACCTTCTGTAAGGGAGGGGACAATACCAATATCATAAGATTGGCCATGTTGATAACTGCACATTTGAGCGTATATGCTGCCAAAGCAAGCACTGATAACTGCAAAAGCTGGGTGACAGATACTCCTCTTCATTATTCTACTTTTGTGTTTCAAAAACTCCAAAACTTGAGGAAATTTTTTTAAAAAGCTGCAGAATGTGTTCATCCAATATTTCTCAACCTCTTTTTCTATCATAGCACTATCCTATTAAAATGTCAGTGTTTCCATGGCACACAGAGGTAGAGGCACAAAGTAGGCAGAAACAACCAATTCAAGGGCACAGACTAGCCAAAGCCTTTTTGAGCAGCACTGCAAGCTAAGGGGATCAAAATTGTGAGTATCAGTACAACCCACTGCTTGAGAAATTCTGAATATGGAGAACTGTTCATGCAGTAGTGTTCTTAAGAAAAGCAAACTATTAGCATAATACATATATTGAAAGCCATGTGCAAGTCTGTAAAGAACTCAATGGATAATACAGCACGTTAACTGATTACAATTTTTTTTTGCCTTTTTAAAATAAATATTCAACAAGGGAGAAAAAGTACTAAACTTCTTGATAGTTCATGATCTAACTCATTTAGCCTTTTTCTAGTTTTACTTCCAAACTCCATGTAGTAATCTCTTCTCTGGGCAATGAACAACTCCATTTGTTCAACAAGTCTCCAAAATAAGGAATGTCACTCTTTTCTGCCTTTCAAAATAGTCCTTTCCCTCAGAACTGAACAGAAAGGGCTCGGATGTTATCTCCTCTATGAAATCTTCCATAATTCGTTCCTCCCTTCTTCGCCACCCACACAATGTTCCACCTCAAGTGTTCTCACACTCAGATGAAGTGAGGAAACATTACACGTGGGATGAGAAACGGCCACAGCAGGTTGCCTTATGCACTTAACAAGCCATGAGCTCGGATTCCGTTCTGGTATCCCCAGTGGCTGGAGCAGTGCTTGGCATGTGGTTGGTATTTAAAAACATAGTTGAAATAATAAGTAGCCATGGGCAAATTTGTTAACCTCCAATTTTAACTTCTTTCCTTGGTAACTGAACACGCTACCCCACAGGTCAGTTGTGAGGCTTGAAATTTTGTGGTATAAACTGGGAAAAGTAGAGGGCTTGGTTTAAGACACTGAAAATTGCTCTAGATACACCACACCTCCCTTGATCTTACATCCACCATGTAAGGTACACAGTTACTTCTATAACTGAGCTACCTGAAGCTCAGAGATCAATCTGCCCAAAAGCAGAAAAGTGGCAAAACTAGGACTAATATTGGAAACCAGGTCCACAACCCTTGTTCTGATTGGCCAGGCTAAAGTCATGTGATGCGCCTGACTACACTTCTTCTAATTGGTCGAGCTAAAGACACGTGATGCAACAGGTCTAATGGGAAGGTATCCTCCCACTTCCTCAGGTCAGCACCCGTCAGTCACCTCCTGGGGGCGGGACAGTGGCACCCCGCGTGCTGGTTCTGAAGCCCAGGCCCAGAGGCCTTGTGCCTAGCACCCGCGTCAGACGCCCCGCGCCCGTCCCCGCCCCGTGGGCCCACCTGGTCGTGCACAGCTGTGTCTCCCCCATCAGGTAGCGGGGCAGCTGCTCCCGCAGCTGGATGCGGCCCCGCAGCGCCGCCTGACAGAAAGTGCCGTCCAGCAGAATCTGGTACGGCTCCCGGACACCGAAATTGTTGCGGAAGAAGCCAAGATGCTTCTTGGCGTGTTTCTGCCTAGTGATCTTCATTTCTGATGTAGACGGACGGAGGCCACTGGGCCAGAAAACGTCGGCACCGCTTTACTCACGCTTTGATAAGGCAGCGCCGGCTTCTCCCGGAAACGAATTAGCTTTGGCCCGGAAGTACACGCCCCCGCTTTCCCTGGCCTGACCTCTCCCCTTACGTCACGCCCAGGCCAGCCCAGGCTCTGACCATTGGCGCGCTCTTTAAGAGGCGGGCTCTCGGGGGGCGGAGCCTGAGCCTGCGCGGGAAAACCACTGGGGAGCGCAGTTTCCCTCAGGGCCGCAGGATTTCGTTCTGGAACGTAGGCGCGTCCTCTTGAGCCGGATTCATTTAGCTCTTTTACCTGGCACGTAGCAAACCTGGCGATCCAAAAATAATCAGTGGTCATGCTGAACCTTAACACGCTCCGGAAACTGTCCAAAGCGATTGACCCTGTATTACTGCCTTGAATGACTGCAATTAAGTGAGGGAAGCAGAGAGGCCAATACTGGGGAGCCAGGGCTGGGGCCTTCTGTCCGGATCTCTTTACTATGAAAAAGCGAAGCGCCAAATTTTACTAAAGCACGTGGTTCCTTAGTTCTGGTCGCCTGCCTGAAGTTCACACGATCTTTGACCCTACTCGGAAGCCCAATGTCAGAGAAGGGCCCAGGCACTTTGCATCTCCTCCTCCGCTCTAATCCACTCCTCGTGGGTGCTTCCTAAGAGCTCCGGGGACTTCTTCAGAATCCCTGAACTTGAGTCCTGGGTCTGCTACAACCTTGGGCCTCTCAGAGAGAGATGTGTGCAGCTTCCTTGCTGTCAAACTGGCTGCAGGTCTAGTTCCTCTTAAAAGACCCGTTTTAAATCCACAATTTCTGACATTGAAAAATTACATCCTGCCGGGCACTCCTGTAATCCCAGCACTCGGGAGGCTGAGGCAGGAGGATCGTTGGGAATTCGAGACCAGCCTGGGCTACAAAGTGAGCTCAAGGCCAGCCTGAATTGCATAGCGAGACCCTGTCTCAAAAGACAAAAGAAAAAAGAAAGAAAGAAAGAAAGAAAAACTGCTTTCTGCAGAAATATCAGGAAGGTACAAAGCTGATGGAAGTTTTAGAAATGACTTGGTCATTTAATAACCAGTGAATACGAGAATTTCGAGTTCCCCAGTATTAGCTGTAGAGAATGCACTTTAAAGCAAAATTAAGAATGGAAAATGTGGAATTTTGTATTTTTGTCGTGGCTTGGAATCTGTCCCAGATCTAGTTTAGGCTAAGGATTGAAAGAACCATCACAAAAAATGATTTACAATGTGACTGAAAAGTATTATTTGCATTTGGAGTTTTATTTCAATATATAGGTTATGAAATGGGAACTAAGCTCTTCTACAATGTTAGCTCAGCTGAATCCCACACATCGCTTAGATGGCTGCTTTCACTTAACTGAAACGTAAGTTTAGGAGTTGGAAGCCATGAAAAATCATTGTAGATTTGGATTTGTGAACCTTGAATATAGAAATATATCACTATTTTCTGATTTGAATCCTCTGTCCTTGTTTGCCAGCCTCTTACTTGGATTATACTCCCACCTCTGACCGAGAAATGATACCAGGCTACTCTTGCAAAATGACTGAAACTTTTTTTATAAATAGGCTCGCTATAGTTTCAATAATAAGAAATATGTGGTACAGCACTAGAAACTTAGTAACATTAACATTTTAGCCTTTTATTCTTTTTTTTTTTTTTTTTGTTTTTTTTTTTTTGTTTTTTTTTTTTGTTTTTCTCCGGTACCGGGAACCGAACTCACGACCCTGCGCTTGCCAGGCAGGCGCTTTGCCTCTGAGCTAAATCCCCAGCCCCTTTTAGCCTCTTATTCTTATTTTAATTTACTATGACTACAGCATTTTTTTCAAGTTTGAAATACCTGACAATGCCAATTTTCACACTTACCCTTATGGAAATCTGAAGACCGATTATAATGGTGATGACCAAACTTAAGTTTTCTACTACTGCGGTGTTTCTTAAAGCATGAACCCAGGGCATGTAGAAAAAGCTCTGAGTGCCCAGTTTTGATTCAGAACAAATACTGAGGGAGCATACTAAAATAAGCTACCCTAGGGGATATGTTCTGAGACCCCACCACAGTGGATGCCTGACTGTGGATTGTCCCAAAACCTATGTATACTGTTTTTTCCTATGCATAATACATGCCTATGATAAAGTTTAATTTTGTAAAATTGTCACAAAGGTTAACAATAATAATAAAAAATAAAATAAAGTACAACAATACACTGTAATAAAAGTCATGTGAATTTGGGCTCTCAAAATTTATTGTACTATAGATCTTTGCAACCTTGGTATCCAATTTTTTTTCATTCCTTATTAGGTTGAGAACTTTCACTACAAAGTACCTAACAGGCAAGTAGTTTACACAGTGTTTAGAGAGGTAGTGACATTTATTAAAATTGCCCTGAGTCATTATGTTGCTCATTAGTGTTCCTGGGTGACCTTTTGCAGTACAGCACACTGTTCATCCAGCATGAAAGTTTCATTAAGTGGTCCGCTTAATACATGTTTGTCCAGATTCCAAATGACCTAGTAATAGCAAATCAATATTTGGCCATGACAATGGTTAAAGTCAAATATTGCCATTATTGAATGAGCTATTTGAATTTAAATTCACATCAAAAATTTTGAAAATTATTCTAATATCATTATTAAAAATTTTAATAGGCACTGAAATTTTTTTTGACCTTGTAGTGCAAGAAGAATGATGCCTTAGTACTGCTGGGCATGAGATTTTTTCCCTCAGGTCACTACACTGGACATTTTTCATGGCAAATAGACATTCACATTCAACTGGGGTAGGTAGAGAATTAATTAATTTGTTTTATTTTTAATATTCATCATGTTGTTTATTATATCTGGATTGAGTATAATTTATACTGTAATATTGTTGTACCTCATTTTTAGATTTTTTTTCTTCATGAAATTTTGATGAAGCCAAGTTGACATGAGAATGATTTATTCTTGAAAGATGTGACTGATTCCCAAATAGGACTTTTTTCATGAAAGATTCATAGCCTAAATGGAATTAAATATGTAAACATTAAATACAATTCATAAAGGATATTTTGTTTCATTTCATAAATGTAAGTGTAGTTCTGTTTAATTCTGTAAACATTAGATAATTCATTGATGATATCTATTGTGATGTTATCCTACCTTATAACGATATTTAAATATTTATAAACATTTGTAAACATTCATTAGCTCAAAGTGAGCACCATGTTCTTTCTAAACTATCTAGCTAGCATGCTTTCCAAATAAATAATTTAGCTAAATAAATATGTATTTTAAAACAAAATAGGGAAACTACTTTATAATGAGGTCTTTGTACTGACGATAGAGTCGATCAGGGATTGCTTTACCTGTAAAGTGCCATGTATGTTAGAAAGTATTCTTAAGATTGGATCATGTTTTCAAAAATAATTTTTGGTCTCCAAATTACAAAAGTAAAACATACCTGTTATGCCAAGGGAATAATAAAAAGATGTTCATTCTCTCTCCACTTACCTAGAAAGCACATTAACAAACTACCTTATATCTTTCAGCAGTGTTCCTGTATTCTCGTATTTATATATCCTATGCATACATAGACATAAATATGTAAACATACTCTCTGGCCCAATGGCATAGTCCACACCTGCCATCCCCACTATTTGGGAGGCTTGAGCAGAAGGATTACAAGTTCAAAGCCACCCTAGGTAACTTAGTGAGCTCTTGTCTCAAAAAAAAGTTGGGGATCAGGATGTAGAGTAGTAAAGTGGTTGAGTGCTTCCCTAGCACGAGAGATGGCCTAGGTTCAATCCCAGCACTTAAAAAATTTATTTTTCAAAAATAGAATTGTGCATGATCACTTCTGTATATTTTGCTTTTCTCATCTAGCAATCATGGTGGAAATCTCCCTAGACACACCCCCCAAAGCCAATTAGCATAGCTCCCATTCGTTATTTTTAATGGTTGCATGACGTTTCCCACAAAACCACCAAATATAATAGATGTGACACTGCTGTCAACTTCCATTCAGTATCTTCCCTCTTATTTACAGTAATAGAATCCTGATTTTTATTCTGGGCAGTAGTGTGAACAGAGAGGCAAATCCATTCCCCAAATCTCTGTGCCGACAGTCACAGCCACGTGGTAAAGCTGTAGCTGAAGATACAGAAATGTTGTAAGGACTCTGGGAGGATTCCTAAAGGAAACAGGCACTTTTGTTTTCCTTTCCTTCATTTTAATACCTGGAATTTGGGTGTGATGAATGAACCTTCAGCGGCCTATTTTGGATATAATGAAAAGTTGCTTGATCAAACTGTAATGTTAGCTGATGTTCACCAACACCATTGCCCTTCCTTTGAACAGGCTCAAAAATCTCATTGCTTTATTTTCTTTAAAAAGTAGAATGTCTTCAAAGTCAAGTATGTCAAGTCCTTTTAAATACTACAGGAGGTATTTTGACATTTGTTTCTCTTGAAAATATAAGAAATTTGACTTGAATTTGGTATGTCAATGGGATGACTCTCTCAGTGAGAAAAGTTAGTTAAGTAAGAACCCCAGTTCTTTGGCAAGGAGCAGGGAAGACATGTCAGTGTCACACAGTTGTCAGCTGATGAAACCAAGTGGGATTTCTGTGGATTAGCCCTGCTACTGCCAGAGAGCTCTTCCTTTGGCAGAAAGACAAAGGAGAAACTGTCTCTAAGAAAACAAAAGAAAACAAAACATAAGGAAATGCAAAACAGAAACTGTCTGTTAGACAAAGACTTCAAGGGATTTCTGTTTGGCAAGGACATTTCTAAACCAGATAATAGCCAGAAGTGTCCACCCTTAGTTATCAGGTGACTCTTCTCTGATGGATATAGAAGTAGACTAGCAAGATTGCTGTAATAGCTTGGATGAAATCATACAGGGAATACTGCCAAGTTAGGTACATTGAAAGGAATTCGGTGTTTCGCTATAGCAGATTTGAACAGTGCTCTCCCTGGGCATTTCATTACAAACGTTTACCATATAATGACAGTGAAGAAAACAAAAATTAGTAGAGAAGAGCAAAAAGCTAAGAAATATCAATAA